TTTTTTTCCACCACATCAAAGACGTACTTAAGCTGCACAAATGTATGTTTTATATTTGTTTAAAGATTAACAAGTTTGTACACTTCTGAATTAAATTAGTGCATTCAAACTTTCTTTACAACCCTCGACTAAACTGCCCATATCTCTTACTGCCAAACTGCTGCTGCTTTTTGTTAATACTCTTATTACTTAACTGGCAGTCGTTTTACTGGGCTCACTGAGACCGTCATTGAAATGACTGCTTGTCCTCTCGGCATCCACAACCTCAGGATACCAAAGTAAATGACCTATTATTAAAGAGAGCCTACACACACACACACACACACACACACACACACACACACACAAACGATTAGTGTAAACAGTGTGAGCGCGAGCGTACTTGTCAAACACACGGAAGCAGTCTGCCAACTCTTCCTCGCTCTTTCCGGCCTCGTCCTCCTTCATCAGTCTCACCATCATGACCAAAAACTCCTCGAAGTCGATGCTGCCGCTACCTGAGGGTTTGGTGGAGCCATGTGATTGATACGCATCAGATCAACCCATTGTCGTGATAACTTTGTTGACCGTTTTACGCATGGAAACACCGGGACTTCAATAGAACAACCCAGAATTTGTTAGTGCAGTAAAAATGTCATGTTGACGGGGTGTTTAGAACTACCACCACCTCTCCGGCTAATTACTGAATTACCATAAAGTGTCCCTGTGTGTAAAAACACTTACGGCGCACAGCTGGTCTGCTGTGTCGCCATCAGGCATAAACTACATTTCCCGTTTCTCACCGTCCTCATCGACCTCCTCGATGATCTCATCCAGCTCCTCTCTTGTCGGGTTCTGGCCCAGCATCCTCATCACGGTACCCAACTCCTTGGTGCTGATATCACCGCCACCATCGGTGTCGAACATGTCAAAGGCGGCCTTGAACTCTGGAGAAACGAGAATTGAATGAAGGCGTGTGTTTGTTCCAAGCTGGTCTCATTTCTCAGTTTGGTACTTTTCTGCTTTATTGTTCTTTTTCACCGAGCATTAATCGTCGCGATAGGACACCATTATCCTTTAGAATAGCACCCCAGTTTGCTTTTATCGACTGAAAAACTGCGAGGTCCGCTTCTTTGTAAATAATTCTCATTGTGCTATTCTTGGTTTTTCTTTCATACCAGTTTGCTCCATCTGGCTTCACGCCGTGGATCTGCATTCTCTTTAGACTGTACTAGCTCTTGTGGTAGAAAAAAATGATCTGAAGTAGAACTGATTGGCTTATTGTGTGATTGCATTTAAGGGTGGTATGATTCAAAACATGTATCACGCGTGTTTCATTTCATAGCTTACATTTCATAGCTTACTGCTTACTGTTATTTAGGCTAAGCAACCAGTACTGTACTCACCAGCCAACATGTCCTCGCTCAGGTAGGAGCGGGCCTCTTGTTGCGCGTCAGTCTGGAAGAAAGCAGGGTCCAGTGCATCACTTCACTCATTACATGTTTCATTTAGGCTTAGTTGATTATTCCAGTTAAACTTGCTTGTTTTAGCCAAGCACGGTGGCAAAATAATTCTTTATCATATTTTCTATTCGTTTTAAACAACCTAACCCCCCC